CACCCACACCCACACCCACACACCCACACCCACACCCACACCCACACCCACACCCACACCCACACCCACACCCACACCCACACCCACACCCACACCCTTATGGTAAGCAGCAAAATGCTCCGAGAACTCATATTTGCTCAATGTATTAATAATACTCAAACTTAATAAGTACTGTGAAAGTAATTTTGTACACTTCATTACTTGTTTAGTTATATAGTTTACTGAAAGACAAAAAAATGCATTTTTTACATTAGAACTCTATTAAACGATGTTATATTAAGCGTATAAAAAGTTTTAAATCTATTGGAAATATTGAATTCACTCGAAGTTATCAAGCTCTATTTCTCATGTTTTTCAATTATCGGATACTCTTATGGAGTATTCAAAAGTCATTTGAAAAATGTTGATATTTTTTGAAGTCTTGAAATTTGATGTTTCTTATTTTTATCTGCCATCTTCCTCATTAAAACTTGAAATAGATTACAGAAGATTTCAATTTTTCCCCTAGATTATCGATGAAGAAGAAGAATTAAATAAAGCAGATAGCCCATTCAAACGAGAATTACAAGCTATTTACAATAAATGTTTGGAAGCTTGCATTAAAAATTATGGTAATCTTTCGTCATCGGACAAAGCGCTCAAAGGAATTCGACAATGGTTGTCATTTATAAATCAACGTTGTATTCCAACAATTCCTATTTGGTCAAATCTTTTGTTATGTAAATATATTTGGGTGCTTAGTTACTAAAAAAAAACTATAAAACGTATACTTTCAGGCAACTTGTCACGTCATGGTACATCTGCTATTCGTGCATACAATAATTTACTTCTATCATCTCATGATCAACGTACTAATGCAATATCGGAACGACGCATGTCTATTGCGAAGCGAACACAACTTGGTAATGAATTTTTTATAACAAATTTAGAAACCTGCGATAAACGTATTTGATTTCTTTTATAGGAATAGAGATCCGAATTCGATCCGATATTGTACTTGATATACTTATTAATGATATGCAAAAAATGGTTGAAAAATTCTCCATATCACTCATGGGTACAATTTTTCAAGATACTGGTGGTAAAGCAAATTCTCAACAGTTGAAAGTTGTTCAAGAACGCTGGCGACAATCTAATCGTCGTGGACACGGACATTATGCAAAAACACCGGAAACATCAATCATGAATAATTTAAAGAATGCATTGATTATATCTACATCAAACATTAATGATAGTGTTATTTTGCCACAACTTTCTGTACCAAATTGGCTTAATGTATCCATTGGACTTTTACTATCTATGAAAATAATTCGTGAAACACCTCCATCATCACCAATGAAAACGCCCTTACTCATCGATATACTCTCATTTATTAAAAATTGGATATCTGCTTCAAACCGTCTTAAACCACCTAAAAAAACAAGTGTTGAACTAACTAAATTGTTGACCACTCAATTCCACATACCTGTTAATTTTCCGACTGATGTAAGTGAACAATTATCATTTATTATTCATAATATTCTTCTTCCGATCATTTCTTATTCAATGTGTTAATAAAATTTATCGTTGTACTTATTGCAACCACACTATTAATGTAAGATTTAACATAAATTATATTGAAATTAGCATGGTTGAAAATCATTTTCGTTTAAATCAACAATTGGCCAACTACTTTGCTAACAATGCGTCTGATTATATATGTGATAAATGTTCTATGTTGATGTCACGACAAATTAAAATTTCCGTTTGTAAGAATATTTATAATTTTGTATTGTTTTTCCTTTAGAAAAACGAATCAATAAATGAAATTCACACTATGAGTTAACTCTCCTTGACATAATACATTAATAGTGAAACCAACTGAATATAATCGTGGAAAGTCATCGAAACATCAGAAGACGCAGGATTTTCTATTGCGTTTTATCACCACTAGATCGAAAGAGCATATTGTATTATGTTCTTAATAGAATTTTTTGATATTATTATCGATAGTCTCTAGTTATTATTCATTATCTTCGACCTTACTCATTCTAGGAGTGAGGCTCTGTAATATAGCTTCAACTTCATGAATCCAATGGGAAGGTGTCTCCTAATATATAATCTACTTCATCAATTCGAAAGAAAATATTCCAAGATATTGAAGGCTTTATGTTTTAGGTCCTCCTGTAATTATTTTAAAAATTAATGATATGAAAAATTCAACAAATTTATTATCCAAGCCTCCATGTACAGTTTGTTTTTATCCATTTATGGATGACTCTTGTATTGGTTGCTCATCATCAAGTGTTTTTGATATAGTCGCTTTTTTATCGGTGATTCCTGATACTCAAAATAAATTGGTGTTGGTTACAAAAATCAAACAAAGATGGAAAATTAGCTCCATGAATACGCTGATAGGAAATGGTGAAAAGTTAGCAAAACTCTTTGCTAATAGTCGACTTATTGTGCTTGAGCGTGTTCGAGTCTCAAACACGAATTTTTTATATGCCATTGCTATATTCAAAATGTTTTCATATTGTTTTCAGCTCGATACAAATATTGAAAATATTGACAAGGAAACTTCAAAGTCGCAATGTACACCAATAATCTCAAGTTCTCAACAGGTTTTAAAATTTCAACTTTTTAGAAAAAGAAAAATGAGAGAAGTATTTTATTCGTTGAAAAACTACTAGTGACATGGCAAGAATTGATAGTTTCACTATGTTTCTCGTACTCATCAATCTGCTTACATGCTCCTAATATTTAGATTAATTTGTTCAAGACATTTTATTTTACAAAAATAGTTTGAAAAGAATAACATTTGAAATTCATTCATGAACGAGGTGAAAAAATATTGCCGACACAGCAAACGTTTAACAAAACTGAATAAGTAAACTGCTCAATATAGGGTTTCGCTTGTTCTATTAAATAATTATTTTCATTTTATCAAATAGTAAAAGCTTATTATCAAATCAATGTTGAATTTCTTCAGCAAACTTTCCAATTAAAAAAGAAATTTAATTAAAAGAATTAAAAGAACATACTAACATTTGGAAAGAACTGTTTTTCAGTAATAATCTTTTGAGTTCATTGAACGAACTTGTTCAAGTGAGCATATTAAGTTCGATTATGTTACGTTAAAATAGTTTAAATTTGAATCAGGAACAGAAGACTTTGTAAACGCTTTCTGCAAAATTTTAATAAAAACCAATTAAAGCATGCGAACAATAACTAATCGAAATGGATAAATAAATTCAATAAATAAATGGACAATGGGCAATGAGCAATGTAGTTATATTCTATTAATAGTTATGATTGCACTTGATTCAATTAATAAAAAAATCAATTTTTATATTTCAGGGCAAAGATTCTCCATTTAAAATTTTGATATCTTCGTTTTCTAAAAATATAAAGCTTTTTATTGAAAATTTTGATTTGCAAATGTCTATTTAAACTTTTGAATTTTAAACATTTGAATAATGTTACTCCTTTTGTATACTGATATCAACTAAACAAAATCAGATTATATTTTTTCTTTCAACATTAAGCACAGTCCACGAATACTTTTAATGAAAGTCCATCTTCTGTTCGAATTTTCTCTTATAATTCAACTGATACTAAAAATGAACCAGAATAATGCACAGAAATGTTACAATTAGAAACAAGTAAAATCTCACCATCACCTTACTCAAGGATCAATTTTGATTTTTTTTTTACCAAATATCAAGATAAGAGAACGGCTGATGCTGCTGAATAGCTCTATTTCTTCTTAGATTATTTTCCTGTTTCTTTTTTAAACTTAGCTCTTATTGAGTCGAAAAATACTATCGCATTAGATGGCCGGCTAGCCTACTTACATTGAATTAAAATCTAGGTATAAAAGCTGTTACGTTGGTCATAATAAAAAGATTAAAAAACAATATTTTTCAACTAATTCACATCCGCGTACATAAAAAATTGGTGCTCAAATCAAATTGAAACAGATTGAAAATTGATTATAATCATGCAACTTTTACACATTTTTCATCATTTTTTAAGGACTTTTAATAAAAAATAATCGAAAAAAATAAAAATTTCATAAATTATACGATTTACATTATTATTTTATTTGTTCTTTAGGTAACAACATCTATAACCTCTAGTTCCATTCTACTCAATCAGCCGGTACCAGTACATCTACTCGATCAATCTACAAAGGTAAATATGAACAAATTATTTTTTACCAAATAAAATTTCTTTCTTTATTCATTCTGAGATAGAAATTAACCATCGGATCAATTCGATCTTTAACAATTATTCCCAAATAAACATTCTCATCTTAATAATTCGTGACCACATTCTACATGTGACAACTTGTCATGTGACTGTAAATATGATTTTATGTACTCTGATTTGGGACCAAAGTTTCTCATGACAGGAGTTTTTATCTTTCAAACTTTATCTGTACATCTCTTTTTTGACGCTTTGTAAAAATCTTTTTTTGTGCTTTTTTTTCTACCATTTTCTGAAGCTTTTTTCTCTTTGATTTCTTTCACTTTTGTGACTATCGTTGATTCATGTGGGTACAAATAAACGTTGCTGATATTATTAAAAGGCTTTTTAGCTCGGCATTCAGCTTTGTGAATTTCAAAAAAAAAGTACATTAAAGCTTAACTTAAGCAAAAGATATTTTAGGATTTTGATGCATAGACATTTTCATCTTTTTCTTTCAATCCTACAGACAACCTAAATTCTGTATTATCAAATACATTGTCATAACTAAAGTGATTGAAATACAACGTTGATAACTAGCGGCCTCTGATAAGCGCTTTATCAATATGGAGGAGATATACAACTTGTTGCAATGGCGATTTCGTGTATGTAGCTGCAAGTGTATGTAGATTATCTCAACCAAACTTTAGCTATTGTTCATTCATTTTAATTTTTTCTAGTGGTATATTTATTCATTTTCTGTTCTGTTGAATTATTCTTGACTTTTTTTAATAGCTTTTTTCATTTTAGATATTTATTTTCTAATTTTTTCCTCATTGATTCTTACTTATTTGTGATTCGTATTTAAATTATTGATTCATATCTATTGATTGTTATTAGCTGATATTGGTTCATATCATATAATAAGTCTGTATTTATTAGGAACTTCTTTGTCATATGGATTTATATTTAAGCGTTATTCATTTAATACAATATTATTGAATCGTATTTATGAATAGTTAATATTTGGTAATGAGCCATATTATAATATAATATCCGATTTATTAACGGTTTAATTTAACAGTATTCGATATTTAGTCTTGATTCTTATTTATATTATTGACTCATATTAATACTGATTATTAATTGGTATTGGTTTATGTTATATTATATATTCATATTTATCGGTAATTTATACTCAATAGTGGTTTAATATAATATTGTGACTTATATAATATTATTAATTCATATTTACAATAGGTTAATCTTTAGGAGTGGTTTATATTATATTGATATTATCAAATCATATTTGCCCAGGTCGATCATTACGACGATCGTAAACGAGCCGTACACGACCGTCTACGATGACGTAAACGACCGTAACCCAAAAAATTACGACCGTATACGGGCCGTAAATCAACCGTTTTATATGCGCCGTATTACGGCCGTATGACGCCGTGTCGTATACGGCGTAATACGGCGATCGTATACGGCTATCGTATACGGCGTAAAAATCCTTCAGGATCCTCAAGGATCCTCGAAGATTGTCAACGATTCTCAAGGATCCTCGAAGATCCTCAAGGACCCTCGAGGGTCCTCAAGGATCCTCGAAGATTGTCAACGACCCTCAAAGATCCTCGAAGATCCTCAAGGACCCGAAGATCCACAAGGACCCTCGAAGATCCTCAAGGACCCTCGAAGATCCTCAAGGACCCTCGAAGATCCTCAAGGAT